TGTATAGGCAGATTTCATTGCAGTTCTGCTTGTACTTCTACATCAAATAGGGCTCTGTTCTCACAAGGAAAACATACTTCTTGTTTGGACATTCCTTCTCCCTTTCGCTTTGCCAGACTTGAAACTGACTTGTTTGGGGATTTCTCAAAGTCTTGCCCTCCACACACGGGTCTTAATCCCTTGACTTCAGAGTTGCGTTCAGTTTCAGGCTTTACCTTACATGTTGTGCCTGTGCATCTCTGGTTCCACGGGCTGCACTTTCCCAGCTTGACCTCATCCCAACCTCATCCCAGCAGACTTGCCCAGTGATCCAGGGCCGTGTCTGTCCCCAATCACTATAAGCATCCCTCTCCCATTTGCCACGTACAGGTACTGCAGGGCTGTGTTCTTGGTCATTGCATGGCCCTTCATGCCCTGCTGACCCCCTTGTCTCTCAACTCACTCATCTTTGCAAGGCAGGCCCCTCCCGCAACTCCTCACAAACTTTGGTGAACATATTTGTTCTTTTAGAAATATGCTTAATGAAATTAAATTAGATTTAATAGAGAGTCTTGTCTTTAAAATAGCCAGCATTTACACATCTGTCCTCATCTAGTGTATTAGTGATGATAGCACAGATATGAGGATTGAAGTAAAAATTCAGCTGCTTCCAAGCAGTTCCTGAGATAGCAGTGTGATCCTGCACAGATCACTTTTTCTAGCTCAACGTGCCATCACTTTCTCAAATAACTGATACTGGGAAAATATCAGGGCAGTCTTCCCTTGAGTTGCATAAAGAGGACTGATAGGAGACCCTATCAATGTATGTAAGTATCTGAAGGGAGGGTGGCAAAAGGATGGAGCCAGGCTCTTCTTGGTGGTGCCAAGAAGCAGAACAAGAGGCAGAAACTGATGCATGGGAAGTTCCTCCTGAATATGAGGAAGAATTTCCTTACTGTGCTGGTGACCACACGCTGGAACAGATTGCCCAGAGAGGTTGTGGAGTCTTCTTACTGGAGATATTCAAGAACTGTCTAGACACAATCTTGTGCCATGTGCTCTAGGATGGTCCTGCTTGAGTAGGGATGTTAAACCAGATGACCTACTGGTGTCCCTTCCAATCTTTCCCAGTCTGATACTGTGACATACTGCTGACACAGTTCAACAGTACATCTGCTTCTACGAATATTGGCTTGAAAGTGTCATAGGTGTCAATAATAGTGGCTGTCAGTCTGTTCTGACTGTTCTATCTTTTCTTCCTCTCCTTCTTCTGTCATTCTTCCTATCCACCTCAGCCATATGAAGGTGCCTCCTGCTTGTTATTCTCTGCGGTTGCTACATACCCACAATCTCTCATCCCCACTCGCCCTCACAGAGGACTATTTCTTCCTCACAGCATATGAGCAATGTCTGTCATTACTGAACATGTAGCATCAACCTCTTCCCTGACACATCAAATGTCCAGATGCCTGATTTATGACATAAATTGTGGGTTTGAGCTGTAGTAACTCAGACAAGAATTGTGCTGAACATTACTATGGTCAGCCTAGACAGACAGGAGAAGCTTAGGATGGGTATTCTAAAGCAACAGAGAAGACAGAATATTTCTTTGTCCAGCTAAATAGAGAATAGTAACCCCTCTCGCTACCTTGATCCGTTGTCTGGGTGAGATGGACAAAGGAGAGAGCTAGTGGAAGAAGTGACATAGTGATGCATCGTACCTTGAGGAGATAAAGGCACCCAAGGGGACCAGTGAATCAAAGCTGACCACCCGCCTGAAGTGTCTGTATACCCAAGTGATAGTTGGCAGTGTCCTGTAGGGAAGTAGATGCTGGTGGTTGCCCCAACACTTTCATCTGCAGTGATCCTACCAAAAGGTAGGGCAGCAAGGGTACTCATGAGCCAGATTAAGAGAAGGAATTATCAAAAATTAGATATGTCATAGTTACATCCTACTGATTTTTTTTATCTCATTCTGTGAATGAAATTTACTTACTCTGTGAATACTGGCCTGCATGCAGAGAAGCTTCCAGAACAATCTACAAGACCTGTAAATTTTTTTTAATTATTATTATTGAGGAGGAAGAAGAAGGAAACAGCAGTTAGGGACTGTAACAAACAAACAAAGTGGCTCCTGGGAGCAAAAAACCCACTATGACTTCTTGGGTATCCCCTAGAAGGGGAGAACCACAAACTCCTTCTGAAATGCATAGGTCTTCCCAACCTCAAAATGTCTGAGGAGTCCTAGACATCAGCTTTCCAGTGCCTCTCTTTTTCCAGAGCACTTTTTCCAGAGTACTTCCAGAGCTCTTTTTCCAGAGCAGTCTCTTCTCAGTGCTCACCTGCAACGCTCTGATGCTCATTTATCATAGCCTCCAAAGAGATAGGGTACCTCAGATGCCTTCCACATTCTGAAGTATTGCAGTGAATTGCCCTCTTCCCATCCTTGTAGTATTGCTTTCCACCATCAATTTCAGGTCTTCTGAGCCAGGGCTCCAGACAGCTGGGAAGTGACTCGGTCACTCAATCTCTGTCTGTATTACTTGCAGTTTACAGATGGTACAGGATAGTTCAGTTCTGCAACAAGGCATACCCTCTGTAACATTTTACTTCATCTTGACAAATCAGACCCACACCACAGTAGAAGCCAGGCACAAGTCAAAACTAAAATTTTGTTCTCACCATCTTGAAATGCAAACGAAATCTCAGCCATATGTTGCAGTCACCTTTATTCACACTGTTTGTGGAGTGGATGGCCTAGGAAAGAAAGTGCCTTCCCCAGAGGAATCCTCAGTGGGAAGAAGTTGCTCTTTCCTAAAGCATAGGGCAAGTAACAGCAGTCCAGACATGCTGGACTGGGAGACCCCAGGTAACATGCACAAAGTGTGCAGCAGCAAAGGAAATGTCACATTCATGTGACCTTTTTATTAAACCACTAATATATAATACAAATTAATGGAGTAAAGTAGCATTTCATATATATTCTATTTATATCATGTTGAAACATTAAATACTAACCAAGAAATTTAATAATTTGACAGATTGATTGATTGTTTGATTAATTGATTTGAACTGATTCTTGGAATTATCCCTGAACTGAGCTCAGAAGTTACGAAAAACTTTGTGGTCTGGAATAATCAAAGAACTATTTATCTCTTTCCTTGAACCAAAATAAAACTCTAAAAAAAATCTAAGTATTTTTGCAAGAGAAAGAAAGAGCGAAAGAACGAAAGAACGAAAGAAAGAAAGAAAGAAAGAAAGCTGTATCTATGGATCCCTCTGTAATACCTAAATTTTCTGCCTAATTCCTACCATATCTCTCATCATGAATTTCTTATTTTAAGAGATTACTGTTCTATCTGGGGATTTCAAATTTCTATGAATACAAAAAAATTTTATCATGAGGAAAAGCTCTTTGCTGGAGACTGAACAGTATGCAGTTTTACGTCCTTCCCTATTGAGACATCAACTTTTTTTACTCATGCAATGTGTTGTAGTTTAGAACATCATGATAAATCCATCATACATGGACAAAAGATATCTTTCAAATCATCCAAAGTCTGCAATTACATCAAGGGCAGATTTGAGTTGTCTTGAGTGACTTGGTGACTTTACTTACATTTTTTATGTACCTGGAGCACCCGTAAACCAGAATTAATTTCACTGCAGAACATATATAAAGTATGACGGCTCAGAAAGGCTTCAGGAAGGCCTTGAGAAAATATTGAAGTTACTGTGCAGCCTTAGGCAGCCCAAGGTGAAAAACTTGTTAATGGAGCTTTGCAGCTGTAGGCTTAATGCATGACTTTGATCACTCTGTCTGAAGTATGCACGTATATGCTGCAGTCCTGCCTCCTCAGCTACGTCTGTGAGATGGTTGTCTCCATATATCCTCCAGAGCAACAGTCATAGTTCACTAAGTGAAATTAATCCCAAGACTGGAGTGTTGCAATTGATGGCTTTAAACTGTTCAGAAGGGTCAGGAAAGAAGGAAGGTGGGCACAAGTTGTCTTCCATGTAAAAAAATGGACTGACAGTACAGAACTGTCTTGGACAAACAGTGATGAACAGTTGAGAACTTCTTGGTAAAAAAATTAGACGCCAAATCAACAAAGGAAACCTTATGGTTGGTACTTACTACAGGCCACCCAATGATGGGGAGGAGGATGTTGATTAAGGTTTTCTTGCTTCAGTTACAGGCTGCATCATACTCACAGGCTCTGATCCTGCTGGACAACATCAATCAACCTGGCATCTGCTGAAAAAGTGGCACTGCAAATTGTAAGCCATCCAGAAGACTCCTGAAACATGCTGCAGATAATTTTTAAATCCAGGTGAAATAAAGTCCAACTAGAGGAGAAGCACTACTTCTGTTACAGTACAACACTGGTTGCTTAACAACACAAATTAACTAATTGTGTCAAGAATGGTGGTAACCTGAGCTGCTGCCTAAGCCTAGACCCATCACTAACTTGAGGTGTACGGACCAAGCAAAGTGTAAAGACAAGACCCTTAATTTAGTAGAGTAAACTCTCAGTTGTTTAAGAAAATAGGGGATGGGACCCCCTGGGAAACTACCCTCAGAGATAAAGGAGCAGGACAGACCTGGAAGTTATTTAAGGACATTTGTCTTAGAGAATAGGTGTACTTGATTCCCACATGTAAGAAAGCAGGGTAGGAAGGTAGGAGATCAATACGGCTGGATAAGGACCTTCTGATTGAACTGAGGTGCAAGAAATAAATGCAGAGACAGTGGAAGCAGGGACACATACCCAGAGAATAATGCAGGAATGTTGTCCAGGTGTGTAGGGATGGAATCAAAAAAGCTGAAGTACATCTGGTACTGAATGTGGCAAGGGATGTGCAGAATAATAAAGTTTTCTGTAGGTACACTGAAAAGGAAGACTAAAGAAAATGTGCCCCCTATTAAAAAAGACAGGAGATCTAGTGACTACTGACATGGAGAAGATTAAAGTACTCAACAAGTTTTTTGCCTCCGTTTTCACTGACAGTCTCTGTTTCCCATCTCTCACATCCCTGAACTCAAGACATAGACTGGGGGAACAAAGTCCCTCCTATTGTAGGAAGAGTTCAGGTTCAATACCATCTAAGGAACCTGAAGACACATAAATCCATGGGACCTAATGGAATTCACCCCAGGGTCCTCAGGGAATTGGCAGTGTAGTTATTGTTCTATATCTTCATCAATAATATTGATAGCAGGATTGAGTGCACCCCCAGCAAGTCTGTGGATGACATCATGCTTAGTGGTGCAATTGATTCACCGGAGGGAAGAGATGCCATCCAGAGGGACCTTGACAGGCTTGAGGAGTGGGCCCCTTTGAACCTCATGAAGTGAAACAAGGTCAAGTGCAAGGCCCTGCACCTGGGTCAGGGCCATTCTAAATATAATTACAGGCTGAAGGATGAACTGATTGCAAGCAGCCCTGCATAGAAAGACTTAGAGATATAGGTGGATAAAAACTTGGACATGAGGTGACCAT